GCATAGAAACGAGGCATTCCATCATCATCATCATAACAAGCCCAGACTTGATCATCCCCAAATGAACTTTCAGCTCGGTCCAAGTCAAAATTATGAAAATCAGGATCTGGAACATTAATTGAGATAGGATCGTTCTCACTGCCTGTATTTTTACTAGCTAAAGAGTCAGACTCAGGCTCCTTCTCATTCCATCCTTTACCGTTTGCAGAAGGTTTACCATTAATTTTTATATCATGAGTTCCATCATTCACCACATTCTTTTGCTTCTTGGACTGTTTATTCAGAGTTGACTTTTCAGCCAATGAGCTCCATTCTTTAAGTTTCTTATGTATTTCAGCACGAGACTTGTCCATTAGCATGTTTCGGATTTCAAAGATTGACAACTCTCTCTGGCTATCGATCCTGTTAAATGCATAATAAAAACTATGAAACTTTTGAGTATCAGGATAACTCTTCCTTAATTCAGATAAGCCAACACCAGCTGATCCATCTCCACTGGCCATTTGATTTGCCGCGTGGACCCCAAAGCTGTTAATTCCATCAGTTCTTTTCTTTTTTGAAGACAATTGACTCCTATCCACTTCAGTCGATGGCTGTGTTTCATCGCGATCTCTCTTCACTTTCTCACTTGCTTGTTGACCCAAATTTGCAGCTCGTGCGGAAGCTGATGAAAAAGTGCTACCAACACCAGCTGTCCTGGAGGAAGGACCCCACTGAAAGTTTGTATTATCAACTGAATTAATACCCACAGAATGGCCAGAATCAGGTTTTTTAGAGTTTCTTCCAGTACCATAGGCATCGCCAGTTGTATACTGTCTAGAATTTTGATGCTGCTGCTGAGAAGACCAACTAGGTGACTTCAATACATTTGGGGGTGGAGCCCTCTCTACGGCCAAAAAAGCTTCATGACAATTAGGACAAAGAAGAGTGTGATTTAGATAGACTCTAAGGTACTCATAGTGTGTCTTGCATCGGTTGCAAAGAGTCCAAAAAGTATCTGGTTTTCTTTGAGAAGGCTGCAATGGGGTAGTAGCCCCTACATGGACCTTACTTTGAACGTTCCTTGCATTTGAAGCAACATTCTTAAAACTTTGAAAGCCATTTGCACTTGGCGGCACTGAAGTACTATGTGTGTGGGTAGGAGTTTTCTGTCGACCCCCTTTCAGGTCCCTTTTCTGATTATAAGCCAATCTCTTTGCCTTGTCAGATAACAAACTCCATGCCTCCGAAACCAATTTAAATGCGCCTTCTGCACCAAGTGACTTGTTTTTATCAGGATGAAGGACAAGAGCCAGTTTTCTATATTGTTTCCGTATAGTCTCATCATCAGCCAAGTGATTCACACCAAGTATCCCGTACCAATCCATTTCCCCATTTATCTTATTCTCTGCAGAGATATACACTTCAAGAGTTGTCATCATTTGTGAGAGACCATCAAGCCCAGGATACAAATTTTGAGCCTTCAAAACAAACTTCTTTGCAGCAGAATAATTTCTCTCTGTAAATTTTCTCTCAGCAATTTCTTTTGCTCTAGCTGCCTCATCTTTGTTGCACTCCATAATTCCCCGCGAATCTGACTCTTAAAAACCACGCCTATCTATGAAACTTCAATCAACCAATAATATCTGACTCTAAATAGGCAATGGTATAGTAGAAGTTAAGATACCTGATACAAAATCAAATAAAATGTAATAAGTACACCTGGCTGCTAGAGTGGGCAGTACAATAGATTTTTTCTGGGGGTTAGGTTTAGAAGAGAGAATTGCTAAAGAAACTTAGAGATAGATTGATAAAAGTTAAGTGTTAGTATATATATCAACATTAATCATGATGAATGTACTGAAAAAAATCCAACTCAAATGTCATGCAAATTCTATAATTTGTCTTTTAATTCAGCATAAACTGCCTCAATTTTTATACTCCTTAACTAATAGTCTAATATTATTTTCTCTGCAGTATCACTAGAACATGCGTGCCCAATCCCAAAAATACACTCAACATATCCTCCACGAGGATTGTAATACCAAATTAAAAGATAATAATGAAAAACTGAATGCCCAAGATCACGTAATACTCTAATCAAATTCTAACCATACTAGAGAATTAATGCTTCCTACATGCAACAATTAAGTGCTAGTTTTCTCCATCATTCATCCAGATCCAGAACATGAAAGATCAGGAAATCTCACTAATAAACTCGCATGATCTCCAAAGCAAATGCTCCTACTACATCCACACAATGACTAAATTACCAATTCCAAGGACAAAATGTTTTCTGTTTTTATCAAGTTGTTGTTTTAATTATAACTTAGATATCGTTTCTTACTGTCCCTTCTAATATTGTGATATAGTTCTTAGTTTTCAGTAGTTCTTTAAACACCACAAGATTTTGAAGCACAGTGCACAACTGCAATATTATTTAGCTCAAATGCTGTGCATGAGAATACCACTAGAGATCCTGAGCCAAATATAGTAGATCAAGATTCCAAAAATTAAATTATCAAACTATTATTCAATTTATTTTCCTCAAATGTGAGGATAAGAATTTGAACCTCCAATCTCAAGGGAAAAATAAGACACCTTGACGGATAAGTTATGCTTGTTGGTAAAAAAAAGACAACACGTTTGGTAATCGATTAGACAAGAATATCATTTTATTCAGAAGAAAGATAACATGCTCTTATTTACTTCATTCTAGAGCTAATAAATAGACTGTGCAGCATTTGTTTGGTCAGTATCCCTTCGGTCTGAAATGTCAGAACGATTATATTAGGTAATTTTAGTAAGAAGATTTTTTCCGTGCACAGCTGACCATAGAGCAAATGATTTGCAGGCAGAGTGATAAAATCAAAGAATAGATCCATGGGATATGTGACTCATTGCTTCTATGTCAGGCAACCTATCTAAAACTTCTTTACGTCACGGTTCTCGGGATGTTTGGAGCATTTCATCTATTTCCTATACTCAACGTCTAAATCTTGAAATCAGACTGCATATTACAATTTACATACATGCAACCAAGAACAGCATCACAACGCATGTGGAAAAACTTATAAAACTATCCGTATAAGATCATCTTCCTGTCAGGAACTCATTGTTCGCATGCACCTATGAACTCTTAAAAGTAAAACTACCCGTCAAGTCATCACACATTACATCACTTGCTATAAATGCATAATTAACAATATATTTTACAAATTTAAACCCACATTCTCCTAAAACCCCCATCGGAAAACCAGATACGAGATAATCACGATTGCATACTGACAGCCACTGAACAGTAAACGATAGTAGTTTAAAAAAGAAAAAACAAACAATCGGAACAACAAGCAAGCTAATGACTGATCCAAGAACAAGGAATTGGAACTCGAGGCTAACGGTCAAATTTGAGTAAGAGCATTTGAATTGAAGCAATCCAGTAGTGAAAATGAAACCCTAAAACAACTGAGATTGAAAGAACAACTTTAAGCAGAAATGAAGCTCCATCGGAATCAAGAAAATTGAAAATCGTAGAAAGAATTACCTAATACGAAATAAATAGAAGGGGTCCGAGTTTGAAGTGATTTGAATCTGAGAAGACCATCACCATGTACAGTGACCCATTTGTCAAAACCACCAGAAGGGCTGAGAGAATTTCCAAATGTCCTAAAAAAAACTGAATTTTTTTGGAGGAGACCAAAAATTAGCAAGTATGGGTTTGGTTAATGTTTAACCTTTTTTATTTATTTATTTATTATTATTATTATTATTATTTTTTTTTTTTTTTTGAGATTTAACCATGGTGCACTTTTTTTATGGAAGAACAAAAAAAACCCTTGCTTAACTAGAGTTAACTTTTAACCATGGTAAGGTTTGTAATATGCTAAATTTGCTTAATCATTTATAATGTATTTTCTTCCATATAAAAGTGAGAGAAGGAAAAGGTAAAAGAAATTTTATTAATAAAAATTTAAAGTAGAAAATTCTTTATTTTTTTAATATTTATTAGAGAATCATGGAAACAATTTTTTGTTATAATTATAATGCCAAATCCTACGTGTAATACATACCCTTTTTTATTATTATATTTTATTTTTCTTTTAAACTTTTACTTTTAAGATTAAAATATGAATTTCGTCATGCATGTAAACATATACATGCATACATGGATGGATATACACGTAGTTCCACGTGAAAAAACAATCGACTTCACTTTCATGTTTGTTGAAAATAATTATCCAATTATATTCATGATCATGCCATTTTTCAGTTAGCATGAGACTTGTTTGTCCTGATTTATATATTTATGATTTTCTCTTATTTAGGCAATTTGGAGACTCGTTTTTTCAAGGATAGATAGAGCTTAAGGTGACCCAAAAAGAAGGTAAAATGAACTATGAATTTTTGGGTAGGATAAACTTTTGGCTTCATTACCTAATTTTGAGCTTAACGTTTGAGTAGCTAATACAACACGACAATAATTTATCATATAGAAAGGAGAGAAATTTTTACTACATTTATGATAGATTCAAAAACGTACATATAATGTTCAAATTGTAACCAATCATGATTAGTTGAGACGTTATAATACTTACAAGATTCGAACCAAATTTAGAGAGGTATAAGCGGAAAGAATAAACAGCGAAACCGCCCATTCTTACTAATTTAAACAATAAAACAATTTGTAATCATGGTATAGAAAAGGCGTTAGATTACGCGCTCAAGGTGACTTTGTTACATGACTAAAGTAATTTATCATATAAAAAGATGAGAAATATTTATTACATTTCTGACACATTCAAAAAACGTACATATAACGTTTAAATTCTAAACAATTATGATTGGTCGAGACATTATGATACAAAATAAACATCATGCTACATTTTAACTTCAAAACGGCCAATTCTTACTACTTTAAACAATAAAATAATTTCTAATCCTTGTATAGAAAAGGCGTTAGATTACGCGCTCAACCATAGGTGACTTTGTTATGGGCGAGTAAAGTCTATTATTGTATTTAATGGATAAAAAGATCTCATAAATATAAACTCATTAAAAATAACTTTAAAAAATTAAATAGGAACTCTTAGTGAACATCATTCTAGCAACAATTGTATGTTGTCAATGTTACCATAGAAGAATGCAACTTGATTTTGCTTCCAAGCAGCTTCCTCCTACTCCAAAAAAATGCAATGTTATCAACATCCCCATGAAAGTCAAAAGGTTTTAGAAAAATGAAACTTCCATGGAAGAAAGCAACCTGATTTTGCCTGCCTCGGCCTTGTCCTTTGGTTAGTTCACAAAAAAAAACTGCACCCAAATAATACTTCATGTTATACAACGAGTTCTGGCCAAAAAGAAAGAAATTACTCACATATGCTTGTTTTTACATACCTTTCTAATGCGATTCATTTGTTTTTTTGCTATTATATCATTATTGGAGTGTGTCATTCTCCAGACTGAAGATATAAACCAAAAATTTGATTCAACACGTAGCTCTAACATTTTCCTACATCTTTTACAACATGGTCAGGTTACCTTACTTATCTTCAACAACATGCAGTGAAGATTGTCCACATAGACTAACATGGGTTTCTCATTATATTTTGGTTCGTCCCTAAAACCACATCATAATAGGGAGATTCCTCTCTAATACGATTTATAACTCTCCACACCTAAGATTCTAAGCAGGATTCAGAATCTAGATTCTTACTAGTTCAAGGGTAATTACATATAGCATCAAAGATGAACAAAATTCGAATCATATTTTGAATCCTAGTTCGAATTTTGAGCTTGGAAAGTTACATATGCATGCATCTTATAGACGATGAGAAATGTGCAAAGTAATCAACATTTATCTGATCTATGTATAGTTTGTGCAGTTGTGTACAAATTGGTGAATAGCCTACGACCCCTGAGATTATATAGTTCATGAGGTTAAGAAATTCATAATAATGATAAATAAGCCCACATATCGTATCTAATTAATTTCATATGTCGTGAAGAAATGTAAGTTACACGAGATCCCACGGAATCAATCACACAGGGAGCTCAACATGCAGCATGGACCAAGTATTACAATGATCAATTTTCAGTCAACAACAAACATGTCACAAATCAAACAGTGTATAACACTTACATCCAACGAAGCCCATAACAAAATTAATGTAAAACCGCACCTTTTTCTTCCTATTTGTTGCTGTCATAAGAGACAAAGTAGAAGAAGCCAGATTGAGATAGATAAAATCTAAGGCACGCACCAGTAAATGGAAGGTATGAGGTGATTGCAGGAGGAGAAGGCCCCTTCCTATTGATGTAGGGTAAAGGTAAGGAAGTATTAAAGGTGAGATCCAATTGAGATTCCCCACCTTGAATTCTTGTGCGATGCACTTTCTTTTTGCCATATATTGATACTTCACATATCACCAAAGTAAGCAGCTAAGCAAACTTTTGAGAAATGAAGATTTATTGCCAACTGCAATGAGAAGTAGGCAATGTCCTCCAGCCACAAATCAATCTATACAAGGACCCTTTTTCCTTTTCTTTTTTGGTTTCCCATGACAAGGCCAAGCGACTTTTAATTCTCTTAGCATTGATGAATCAAAAGCCTTATCCGATATTCAATAACATGACTAAGTTCCTAGCAAAAAAAACCAAAAAAACTACAACTACGACCTCATATAGTAAAAAACAGGGTGACCTGAGATACCGAATTATGCAAAGGAACAAAGAAAATCCTGAAGAACTGTTCGTTTCAGAATAAACAAACAAACAAGAGAACCAATAAGTCTTGTGAATGGCATTAAAGAACTATTCTCAATTTTTCTATAAACACAGAGTTTTCCTTTTCAATATGGAGGCCCCAACTCAATAACGAAACTTCTAAAGCTATTTTCTTGATTATAGTCATAATAGCCCAAAGAACCTTAATTTGTTCTTAAAAGACACCTTTCCCTTTTCAAAGGGAATGAGCAGCTTATTTTAAATCCAAACTACAGTCCATGTTCCCAATAAGCAGACAAGATTAATTGAAATCAGGAAAAAAAAGGATGTCAAAGTTAAATCAACAACAGAAATACTCATTGAAGAATATTGCAGCTAGTGGGGAAAACTACAGCACAAAGTAAAGTAAAAGATGCTCCACTCCACTTGCTCATAATCTGAATCCTCATAGAAATAATTAACCTAATGTCTCCTAATTACAACATTAAGAGGACAAGTAATTTTGCAAAGGAATCAATAGAACCATGCGATCAATCAAAGCTATGAAACGTAGAAATCGCTAATGTTCTTCGTCGATTAACGAAGGAGAAAACTCGAATAATTTTTTCCACCCACCACATGAACATTCAATCCAATCCAATCCAATCCAGTCAAATTCACCTTCTCATCCATTCAAAACTTTTCCAGAACCCGCTAAATTGAATGAAATTATGAAAAAAAAAAAAAAAAAAAAAAGATGACGAATATTTTCGATTGGGAGGCATTGAACACAGAATACCTTGCCGCCGAAAGGGATCGAAGAAACTACGGCGAACGGAGGTTGCTCTGTCAGTATCAATGGCGTTAGACTCCGTGAGAGCATTTGATTGGCCCTTACTTCCATAGACCACTTTCCAAAAGTTTTTCTTTACCCACAAATCAAAATTGTAATTATTTGGCTATGTATTTCATTTTTTAAAATTATATTGGTAGTAATTTTTTATTTTATTATCATTTTTGTTTTAAAAACTTTCGACCAAATTTTGAAAACTCCTTCCACCTCGGGATGCTTTACTCCTAATCCCACAAGGTTTCGAGATGGAGTTTGACCCGAGTCTCGATTAAGTACGACGATGATCTACGTTTCACGATACATTAGAATAAGATTGAATTTGGAAAAGAAAATAGGTGTAGCTGACGATTATGGTATGAAACTAGTTTGTTAAGAATTTTGTTGATCTCGTTAGCCCTTTACCGAGATTCAAGAACTGACTTTTTCTTAGTGCTTGCTTTACCGAGTGAAATAAGTCCCAGAGCAACTCTCAAGCAAGGTATCGAGCTCAAAACTAATTGATTAATGCCCTTTTTGTCCATGGCATTGCAGTGAATGCCATTTTTGGCGGACAAAAGAAAATTTTGAAAGTTATGAGGTTCGTGACGCAATCTTAATTCTATTTTCTCAGGAGAGTTTTGTAATGACGTATAACGTAATTATGCCTAATATTACCATCTAAATTTTATCAATTAATCTTAGAATATAAGATTCTTGCATGATCTGATCATTATAACGGGATAGATTTATCGAATTTATTTTCAACTTTAATCTTACTTTTTCTTAAACTTTTCGAAATTGTAGACGTGTATGTATTGCATTAGTTAAAAATATTTATGCTATGAATAATGATAGAATATTCACAACCTTATTAGTTTTAATTTGAAAAAATCATCTTTCGATAAGTCGTGTTTTTTCACGGTACAATCTCAACCAGTATTACACCAAAATAATTCTTATTTTATAATATTTAATTACTATTAATTTAGTCAAATACATCCTTAACCACGATAATGAACCGTTGTAAATGTGACTTATTATTTTAAATCATGTATTTTTATTTATAGGGGTAGGATAGGTCAAATCTTGGAAATAAAATTATTATCTTATCACATTATTAACTAATGCAAACACCTCACATCGGAGGACGACCCAATAGCTACCATCAAACCCCACATGAATCTCACGTTTTTAACCAATGATGGAGATCGTAAGTTGACACATTTACTTCCCCGATTACTATTTTAAAAATACTTTCTAAAAAGATTTAATATTGACCTATGCAAATACTTTTTTACCAGACAATTAAAAAGTCGCCATGAAATATGCATGAATTGAATAATTACCTCACCTTCTCATTGGCCCAAACCATAAACAAATTATTATTGTGAATGTTTGATTAATCCACCACATCTAAATGGTGTGAAAGTTATCTTATTTATAATCAAATAAATTACAAGGATATGGAAATAGTAATAAATGGAAATAACAATAAATGGAAAGATACTATGATAATATTTGCCTTATAATAAAATATCAAATATAATATATATGATAAACTATAATTTATTACTAAATATCTTTAACAATTATCCAATTAAATTTAAGATAAAAAATTTAATTATAAAGGTAAAATGGATTTTTAACCAGTTGTAATTATGAACCTCTCGTAAATAATCAATTTATCTATAATAATTATATTCATGGAGATAACGCGTCAACATAAACATTAAATATGAATTTATAATGGAGTCATCAACAGGTTAATGAATATAATTTGAGCTTATATAATCCGGACGTATATAAGCTCTCTTTTTCAAATTAATATTTAATATATTTATATATTAAATATAAAATGAGAAAATATATTTTTTTTGAAGCATTTAAATTAATATTTATTATTTTAAATATATTAAGCATAAAAGAGGAGTATATGTATAGCGTACACAAAGCGGAGGGAAAGAATCTCGCATGATATCATGACGTATATAGATATCATATTCATTATAAGAGGTAAGTATCAAATGCACGCGACATAAAAAAAAATGCATGAAATCTTCATAGTTTTAAATCGTGACATAAACATATAATGTAGCTTAATAGTATTATGTAATCCTAAAGTAATTGTGCTAACATAGTGAGTATATCATATCATATAGGAGTATTATAGATCATGCCACAATGAAGTCACAACAAGCTCCATGATATAAACATATCATAGCATAACTTACCATATAATATAAGTCATAATATAACATAATACATGTCAATCCGTCATAAAATACAACACATTTGCCTTTATACTTCATTCCATTTATCCAATACTTTATGATTCATCGAGTTCGACTATCTATTTAATTTTTTTTATTTATAAATTTTGTTAAAATATATTACTAAGTGAATAGGAGCAAGCCCAATAATTGTATGGCCCATCGAGTTCAACCATCTATTTAATTTTTTTTTTTTATAAGCCCAATAATTATATGACCCATTTATATTTATTTTAGTAGAATGATTTAGTTATTTTAGAATAAAGATAACGAGATATTTTAGGAGAGAGACGTAGATATTTTAGAAAAAGATTTAGAATTTTAAAGAGTAAATTGGTTTAGGGTTTAGGGTTTAGGGAAAAATTATAGTAGTGCCGGGATTTACTCGGTTTCTCCCTTCATAACCTCTTCTCATTTTGCTATGTATGGTTACTTATAAACCTCCCTCCCATCCGAACCATCTTAACACATGGCTAATTAGCGAGTGGACTCCCTCTCAACAATCCTACACATGGCTAATCCTAACACATGGCAATTTATTTTCATATATGTTTGATGATCGAAGAATAGAATCGGTTTGGACCAATGAATACTCGGTTGAGAATATGTTGAAGGTTTATAAATAACTAAAACTAAACGTGGTCAAATTTGTTTTGCCATTTTCATCTCCATTTTTGCCTCTTAGTTCTGTTTTCATTTCTCATGGTTGATGAATTGCAAGTACAAGTGGCAGAAAACTGAGGTGTTGATGATATCTACTAGTCGTGGGTTTGTGCTGTTACACTTTCCTCCTATCTCTTAAGTCGTTCATCTTCGTGATTTGTAGACTATATTCATGTACATATCTATATATTTTTTCAATCTTCAAATGTATATAAGTCAATTTTGAAGTGTTTCAATAACGAGTCAAAAGTGAAAGATACCATTGAGATGCTAGCAGCATCAAAGTCTTTTCGGTGTTGAGATGCTACAAGAATGGAGGCATTCGCTTAGAAGTTTGTAACGGTAAGATGCTACGTGACATTGTGTCTACATTATGGATGAGAGTCTTCCACCAGATTAGAGTACAACGTTAAGCTTTAAGCTGTTGCCACTCATATTTCAATGATATCATCACTCCTTAAATATTTAGTTTCTTAGTTGGTAAAGAGACTCAATATCACTCGAGAAAAGTAATTATTGTCCGTTCCTGACATATGAAATAATTGTTTATTTAGTATCGTTTATATTGATAGATTGATGTGTATCACCAACAACTGAAATCAATCCCGTGTGAAAAACATTTTTCTGATTTTTATTTTCATTCTAAATTAAATAATGTCATTGTATTCGTTATAATTAGCAAAAACATTCGTACTTAATTACCATTATATTAAACTTGACATAATACAGAAGCAGTTGTAATACTTTGGTTAGATTTGCTGGTATAAATTAACACAATCAAACTTGTTGCACGACATACGTTAATCAAATTTGCATATATATATATATTTTGTTACACACATTAGTCTCAATTTCATATAATAAGAACTTATTAATGATAACTTATTAAGAAAGGGAATTATTAAAATATTCACTAATTAAATTAGGTTTGATTTATTAATTTTTGCAAGGTTAAAATGATAAATTTAAATAAAATATAAATATTAATGATATATTTTTTTAAAATTTAATATAAAATTTATAATTTAAATTATAGGATTTAAATTTTTATTTTTCAATTAGGTTTAGATATTCTAAAAGTTTTATTATTAGCTCTATAATTTAAATTTAGTTTCATTTCCATCTTAATTTAAAACTTTAATTTAATTATTAAACTTTAACAATTAAAGTTTATAAGTTTTTTAATACTTTGGTTATTTCATAATTTATTACGAATTTATATATCTAACACAATAAAAAAAATGTAAATTCATTACCGTAGACTTTAAGAAAAATTTACAAGTTTATTACCATATAAATAAAACACGAGTCGATAATACGAAGATCTGCAAACGAACTACCATATAAATAAAACACAAGTCGATGATAGGCGATATGAAGTTATGAATCATTTAATTTTTTAATTTTATTTTAACACGATAAGAAATAAAGATAGAAAATTAAGTTGTATTAATTCGAATAAATATTATAATATTTGTATCTATTATATATTGAATATTATTCAAGGGGTTGAAATGGGAGAAGAAAAAGAATCGACGGCTGAGGATTGATGAGGATGGATCAGATCAACGGTGGTAAGATGATGGGCTATGGGTTTTTAATCGGCTAAGTGGAGCACACCGTAATTTAGTTTGACGTGGACCAATTTATCCGCAAACCGCTAGTCCTCTCCGGGTCTAGTCTTCTCTCTCGGACATAACCCCAAATCCCGATTCCCAACTCCTAAGAAACCGTTTTCCTTTCTTCTCCGCCGCCGTCGCCCTATCTCCGACCGGTGCATCTACATTCCGGCGATCCCTTTACCTCACTCTCTCTAGGGTTTTTCTTGTTTTCTTTTTCCTTTTTGTATTTCGTGTTCCGCTTGAAACCTCTGCTATTTCAGTGTGAATCCCTGATTTGGGTGTTTTTGTTTTATCTTTGTGGGGAACGGCGTTGCTGTTAGGGTTTTGATTTTGCCCAGTCGAGCTGTGGGATACGGCTAGAAGATTTGAAATTTAGGGTTCTTTTTAATTTACTTGGGGGTTTGTTTTGAAATTAGGGTTTTCAGTGTGATTCAGTATGCCGAGGGGTTCGAGGCACAAATCTAGTAGACAGGGGTTGAAGGATGCTAAGGAATCTTCGGACTCGGAAAATGATTCCACTCTGAGAGATCGGAAGGGCAAAGAGAGTGGGAGTAGGGTAATGAAGGACTCTGCTTCTAGTGAGAAGCGCAGATTCGAATCGAAGGATTCAAAAGAGTTCTACGGTTCAGAGAATCTGGAGATGGAAGAGCATGGACATTCGAAGCGGCGTAAGGAGAGGTATGATGAGGGAACGACTGATAGGTGGAATGGGGGAAGCGACGATGAGCTTGGTGTTCCTTCCAAAAAGTCAAAAACGTTGGTGGATTCGAAGAGCAAGAGAAGGGACGAGAGTGTGGGATTTCACGGGGATGGCGAAGAACACAAGAAGAGTAGTGGAAAGGGCGAGGGAAGGCACCGGGAGTCAAGCCGAAAGGAGGGTAGGAATGGTGGAGGGGAAAGGGAAAGGGAAAGGGAGAGGGAGAGGGAGAGGGAGAAGGATAGGAAAGGTAGAGAAGGAAGAAGTGACAGGGGGGTTGCAAGTGAAGATCTCCGTGTTGAAAAACAAGTGGAAAAGAACTCAGGTCAGGCAATGGGTTACACTTAGTTTTTTTTCATCACAGGCCAACTCGTGTATCTATTGAACTTGCTCTGTCTTTACTGATTAGTGTTCTTAGCCTCATTTTTAGGATTAACGGGTTGATTTTGTAGTGTTTTCTGTTGCGTTGGAGATCTTGTTCCCATTATTCACTCATTTTCTCTGTCTTTACTGCTATTTTGTTCTCTTAAAATCTTTTTCAAGTACCATTTCTGTCTTGTTTGATCGTCATTCTCTGCTTGAAGATGTTCTGTATGAAATGACAGTGAGGATAGTGGTTTTTGTATTTCTACGCTGCCACATTTTAGACTATACCTGATCATTCTTTTTTTGAGTACTAAATGTTGCAGTGGTGTTAACCTCCTTGTTTCTCGTCGGGATCGTCATACACCACACACCTTAGATGGGTTTTGCCTTTTCTTAATATCAATACGAAATTTTTTATTTTCTGAAAAAATTGGTGGTAATCATTTTCTTTCTTTGTTGTTGTTGTTGTTTGTTATTGTTATTATTATCTTCGTGTAGTTGTGTGTGAAGTTAAAAGGATAATAAAATGATAATAAGATCCTTTCATTTTGCTGATTTGGTGAAGAATGAATGTTAAATTTTCCCAAGTGCGTGATTTGGTGAGATTCCGCCGTGATGTCTGTCACAGAATTTCAAGGAAGAGTTACACAAGGATTGCTAAACTCTCTCGCCTTGTCTGCATTTCCATGAGAATTAAGTTCTCTGTCTGGTTGAAACAAATTAATGCCACATCTTAGATTACTATTTCTCTTGCATTAAATTTCATGTAAAAGACTAACCGACATTGAAAGATTTTCCAGTGATTCCTCATCTCTACTCGTATCAAGGACCACAACCTCAGCTTAGATCGCCCCTTCAAACTTTAAGGCATGGAAAATTTGTGTATCAAAGAGGACAGGTTCTTTTACCCCTTTAGGTCCCATCTGCTGGTATGTAATAATTTACATCTTTCCTCTTCTTTCATGGAGAGGCCTTCCTTGGAACAACATCTCCTATTCAAGACCTTCTGCACCCAAAGAATGTCATCTTCCTATCTTATTTCCTGAAAAAGCCAAGGTTTTATTAGTGAAAAGTAGGTCAACAAAACAACCTACCACCCATACTACGAGCCCTTAGTTCAAGGGAATTTGGAGCTGTCTGTGTTCACTACTGTCCTATATGTTGACTTTCCCACTCACTCCTTGAACAACTACTTTAGAACCAAAGCTTTTGTGTTCAATCCTGCACAAAAACAACAGAGCTACACTACCCTCCCTTTCACAAATCACCACTGACGTCTTTCTGAATACACTGCTTTTCTGCCCCGAATCGTGCAGTTTAATGACAGTGTTACTTATCAGATTTTGGCATACCTTATTCCAGAAAATGGCTTGATTGATTAGTAGTGATTGTTTAGTTGGTTTTAGTTAGGATAGGATATAAGTTCCTAGATTTTATTCTATTTTTCCTTTGTTTCAATTTGCTAACTTATTGTACACTGATGTTTAAGGGTTTAAATTCTATTTTTCTTTTTCACTATGTTTCCAAATTCTTTTTTGTTTGTTTTGTTTTTTCTTTTTTGTCTGTTTTTGTTTTTGTTTTCTTTGAATTATGTTTTGGTTCTATAATTCTGATTTTATTTGATATTCTTGTCATTTTACAATTCTTAGTCTTTGTTCATCAGATTTGAGCTGTATATATGCATGATTTGCTAAATTGGTTAATCTTGAGAATTAGATCATACTTGCTTTTGGAGAAGTATTTTTTGGTTTTTCTTTCAATTTGTACTACTAGTATTCTAATTTTGTGCAAATTTTGGATGTGAAGTTCAATTTGGTTTGCTCTCCAATCATGATAACTAATTATTCCGTTCTCTCTCTCTCAGACGCACATATTCAGGCAATCATGTTTAGGTGAACAAATTTTCTTTATTGAGTGTTACGTTAGCGAGAGCTGATTGTGCTTGTTAGATCATTTGCTTATAGTATAGATGGATGTTTGGAACTTTACTAGACATATTTATTTTCTTTTGGAATCTATTTAAACAATCAAGTCTACTTTGAAAATTGTCATGCTGAGTATTTTAATATTTGATACTTGGTGACCTGGAGTTAGTGTCATACTAGATATTAACTATGAAATTGTTCATCGTATAATAATTTTTTTTTTATAATTTAATGGAAATATTAGTAATCTTCTTGGCATTTTTGTAGCGTCTTTTACATTTTTTAATGATCTATTTTTGGTGCTGGTCTATGTACTAATGAAAAGCTTAACTTTTCTTTTTCCCTATGGTCTCATCATTAGATGAGTTGTGATCCCCTTGAACAAATAGATGGTTTAGCTTTCCCTAATACCATTGTATTGTTGACTCAGTATTAGTTTTCAACTTGTCTTTTATCATTACAGGAATTTTGTGTAAATATGTTAGTTTGTAACATGTTGCACTTTAATGCAGAGAATGTGTTGCATAGCCCTGGATTAGAGAATCACCTGGAGATCCGAGTTAGGAAGAGAACTGGTTCTTTTGATGGGGATAAACATAAAGATGATATAGGGGATGTCGATAATAGACAGCTATCTTCAAAGAATGATACTGTGAAGGATGGAAGACGAAAGAGTGAGAAATACAAGGATGAGAGAAATAGGGAGAAGTACCGGGAAGATGTTGATAGGGATGGCAAGGAAAGACATGAACAACTTGTTAAAGATCACATTAGCAGGTCAAATGACAGAGATTTGAGAGATGAGAAGGATGCAATGGATATGCATCATAAGAGAAATAAGCCTCAAGATAGCGATCCTGATCGAGAGGTAACCAAGGCCAAACGTGAAGGTGATATAGATGCTATGAGAGATCAAGATCATGATCGCCACCATGCATATGAACGTGATCATGAACAAGAGAGTAGGCGTAGACGTGATCGTGGTCGGGATCGTGACCGTGACCGTGATCGGGATAGTAGACGACATCGTAGTCGAAGCCGTGCTCGTGACCGTTACTCTGATTATGAATGTGATGTTGATCGAGATGGATATCATTTTGATGATCAATACACAAAATATGTTGATAGTAGGGGAAGGAAAAGATCTCCTAATGATCATGATGATTCTGTTGATGCTAGATCTAAAAGTTTGAAGAATAGTCACCATGCAAATGATGAAAAGAAGTCTTTGAGCAATGATAAAGTGGACTCAGATGCTGAGAGAGGAAGATCTCAATCACGATCCCGTCATGGAGATGTTAGTTTAAGTAGCCATAGACGGAAGAGTTCACCCAGTTCTCATTCACGTGTTGTCACAGATGAATACAGGTTTCAACTCTTTTTCTTTATCGTTACAGTTGGTCTATGGTGTGTTTGAAGTCCTTGATGCATAGATAATTTTTTTGTGCAATGATGTTATCTCTGTTGAATTGCATAAATAGGTTAATAAGCAACTAGATATTGGTAGCTATCATCTTTATTGCTTTTAAAAGTATGGTTAAGTAGTTACATCTATGGTTAAAATACCATTTTGCACTTACGTATTGGTAGCTCTCATCTCTTATTCTTTTGAAGCATGGTTAAGCACTCACATCTTTAGTTAAACTAGAATTTTGGTCCTTGTACTTTATTTCTCATTCTATTTTTGTTCCTATACTTCCAAATGCTCAAAATTAATCCCATACGCTTAATAAATCTTGAAATTGAACCTTAGTGTTAGTTTGAAGTTAATTTTTATTGAAATTGGTAGAATAATAATAGTTTCCATTCAAGAAAAGGCAATGTGAATATGTTTCCAAAATTGACATAAAGAAAGGCTAATAGATTTTTTTTTTTTTTTTGGGGGGGGGGGGGG